AAAATAAGAATTGCTAACTGATCTTTTTGATCAAAACCGGAAAACTTAGAACAGCGCAAGGAAGAACAAGGACGTTTTAGGATGAATACATTAAAACAGTTACAGGCACTTAAAGCAGAAAGGATGACTGTCCCGCTAGTATTCCTTGCCATCTTCTGCTCGCTGCCGACTGTTCAAGGAATCAGTAGATGTGATGCTTGTAAGGGTTTAGTTTTTGTAGTGCGACTCACATCGCAGCTTGGAATGAATGCATCATTTAAAGATGTACGTCATAAGACAGCTATACAGCTATTGAATAATTAATATAATATGCTACTTCAGCTGACAGCATACAAGTGCGATTTATACGAAAAAGAAAATGATAAGGACACGTGCAAGCAAGTTGGGAAAGAAATGTCTGCAAAGGAAGATGGTATGACCGAAGCCCGGAAACAACATGGTGAAAAGGTATACATTCGAAGAAACAGAGCTTTGCTTTAAGAGTTTATAGAAAGATCCAAAATTCCTAGATACTTTGATGCACTAACTTTCATATCATGCGTACATGTAATTCAGCCCATTTTTTCTGTCTTTAAACTGATTAGTTTCAGGACTGGAAATCTATACGCGATGTCTGCAAAGTGTTTTCTTACTGCATGGTAAAGTAGAGACTACTGATGGATAAACTATTGATACATGAGAGTGTGAATTTTCGGAATTGATCTATGAATGAATAATGAATATAAAAATTGTTTTGTAAAGAGATTACAGGGGAATCTAGGGAAACAGAGGAACATATGTAAGTGGATCTTTTTAGTGAGAAGTGTACAGTTGATCGAGCCTGGAACACTGCTTTCAATGTATCTGTTTTATATGGGAACATCTTTGGACTAGAAAAGGTCATAGAGTGCAAAATTCGAAATGCAGGATCTGTAAATTGAGCAAAAATTCACTTTTTAAGCTAAAAAGCAACGCAAGAGCTTAATTCTGATAGATTTTCGATTTTCTTCTAACTTGAAAGGAGGAAATCCTTAAAACTTCTCCCAAGGAGAATTTAGCGGCTAATAAAGACACATTCGTACATACATCTCTTGTTACGAATCCATTTCAGGTTTCTTCGTCTTACATATGTTCCCTTGTTAACACCATTATCATCGTTATCCAAAGTAAACTGAACCCTTAGATTATTTATGAGATGTTTCAAGATAGGACGCACTTCTGTGCACAACTCTTCTGTTTCCCATGCTTTCGCATCGGTGGCATATCAAGTACACGAATGGGCATTTAGGTATTGGGCAAATAGGCGAGTTTCCCCGAAGGCGAGTTCTACACCTCCCTCTTATGACAACATTATTTAATATATAATGCAAAAAAGCAGAGATATTGAACATTCTTCGGCTTAAGCTGAAGTCAGCCTGCTTCAAGGAATAAATGTCAATTTGAAATTCTTGGTTCCGGTAATTTACTACATTTCCGATCTTAGCTCATACTGAATGTACATTGGAGTTATGAAAAAATGGACTGTGCATCTCAGTAACCTTGCAATTCAGCAGTTTCTTTTATTCCACGCTCCCTTGCGTTCAACAACGGAGATCTAAGAAAGAAGCAAATTTGATTCAAAGTGTGAATTGGGAAATTCTCGCATGGAAAAAGTTTCCACCACCTTTTTTTGGAAAGCTGTGAAGGCGAAAAAGGGTGAAAATGCTTCTAATATGTTGGAAAACGTCCACATGGCGCTAGAACTTTGTCGTATCGACAAGGTTTCCGCGTTTTTTCGAGTAAAGTACGTTAACCTCCCACATGAATTGGACACGATTTCTTTAGGGAAGGAACTCCTAATATGGAATAGGATTCGCACAGTTCAGGCAAATATGCTAATATGAGACTTAAAAAAGAGTCC